CGGCCTCCCATCCACCTGCCACAGCTGCAGCCCCTCACTCAGAACCCACACATGCGTCTAGAAGTCTCCGTGTGTCTGCCCCCTGCTACCTGACAGCCAGGAGCACACAGGGGCCCAGGAGAGCAACGGGTCTCCTGTCTCAGTCCAGTCGTGCAGCCGACTCATATGCAGTGATCTCCCCACAGCCCACAACAGGGCTGCCCTCCCCACAGCCACTGACGTCCCAGAGAAATCCAGCCCCAGAAACGCTGGTGTTCCTCCCTCTTTCCTGCTCAGATTTTCCCACTAAACATCCTTTAAATCCATCCCCCTCCCCTCCACACACCTTCCAGGCCACTATTATAGTCCAGGCCAGTTCCCTTCGTCCCTGGACACCTGTGCCAGCCTCCCTGCTCCCAAGGGAGCCACCCCTCAGTCCAAAAAAGCCGGGCGTGGTGGCTCACACCCATCATCCCAGCACTTTGGGAGACGGAGGCGAGTGGATTGCCTGAGCCTGTGGGCTCAAGACCAGCCCGGGGAACTTGGTGCGACCTCGTCTCCACAATAAATCAAAAATTAGCCAGGTGTGGTCGCGCATGCCTGTAGTTCCGGCTACTTGGAAGGGGAGGCGGAAGGATCGCCGGAGCCCAGCAGGGTGACGCTGGGGTGGCCGTGATATGCCACTGCACTCCAATCTGGGCGACAGTGAGACTCCAACTCAAAAAAAAAGCAGCAGCAAGACGTGAACGAATGTTGATTCCATTAAGAGAAAGTACAACATTGGGCAAAACCAGTGAGATGCAGAAGTTAGGACTGAGTTACCCTCAGGGGTTGCTACCAGACTGGGGCAGGGGTGTACAGAATGGGGGGTGCTTCTGGGGATGGGTGTGTTCTGCTTTTTCAGTCTGTGCTGGCTACAACTTGAAAGTTCATCGAGATGAAAGTTTGCAACTGTGTGCATTCTCCACGTACGTTACACATCAATAACATGTTTTGTTTTGTTTTTTAAAGAGATGGCCTTCAAGGTCGGGCACGGGGGCTCACACCTATAATCCTAGCACTTTGAGAGGCCAAGGTGAGAGGACTGCCTGAGCCCATGGGTTCGAGACTCGCCTGGGCAACTTGGTGAGACCCCCATCTCTACAATAAATCAAAAACTTAGCCGGGCGTGGTAGCACGCACCTGTCG